TTTTTCGTGCCTTAATTTATTGGAATGGATACTTAAAATGAAACTTTACACTATCGTACAAGTTGTATCGTTTTCAAGTACAGGATGTACACAGCAACTGAGGAAGAACAATCTTGTAGAGACGTCCCAACAGGTAGAATATTCCATACCCACCCCATTTTCAGTTTCACAATTTACTACAGTAAGTGAATAATAAATCCTTTTTTTAACGTTCAATGGCCGCGATTTCTAATCATTTTTTTATTGTATGTAGGGTGATTGTTTGGAAGAGCACCATGCAGTTACACAACAGTTAGTAGCTTCAAATTCCATTGCTCCATCATCAGCAAATGTTGCGTTCCAGTACCCAGGTAATAAATGGTTTCGTATGTATACATTGCACATGTTCTTGTCCTATATTATTGACACTGTATATTTTTACAGTAGGTACTACAATCCCATTTCAATCACTGATACCACCTTCTCAAAGTGCCGTAATGGGTTGGATGTACAGTGTGACCCAGTCGTCAGTAGGACCGTTATTCACGCCTACTAGTGAACATCAATAGGTGGTCGTATTATGTAATGCAAGCACGACGTAACAATATTATTATTTTGGTTTGAAGCTATCATTTTATTTCAACATCAATAGGTGGTTATTTATTTCAACAGTGTTTTGAATGCTTATGATGCTCCACTTATTGTTCATGTATATTTAGTTAAGTTTACTAATTTTATAAGATGTTTACTGTCTCTGGATTGGCACACAGATCATGTGTATATCCTTTTTTGTAGTGACATCATTTTCAAGAGCTTATTAATTACAACCATTTTTTTGTGCCGAATTCATTTCAAATTGTCCCTTTTTTGTGTTCACCAACAACACCACCAAGTTTTTTTTAACACCAGGTAAATACAACAATGAAGTTCATTTTATAATTCCACACTTACCAACTGGAATAAGACTACATTGGCACATTCATAATTTGAAGCTCGAAAGTTGAGAGAAGGCAACATTGCCGCATACTCTAAACTACTACAAAGTGGAATTGCATTGCTACTACGTTACGCTATATAAACACATGCCGTACTACATACTAATACAACAAGTCAAGTTTCACATTTCAAGTCCTTCTCATTTGCCGAAACTCGTGTCCCCTTGTGCATCTTTATGTTTAGGGAAATCTCCAAGTCTTTCTCATCCATTAGCTTAGCCAGCAATTTCAACATATGCGACAATCATCCGCATGCTCAGCTTCGTTTGTAATACCACTTGAGTCCCCATCGTCATGCAATGTACAATTTTCATCATGCTTATTCTTACACCATTTGAAGAACTTGTAGTTGCGGGTACAACAATGAAACAATAGCCATTTATTTTCATTGTTCTATTCCACTTCCATCCACTTGACGAATCCTACACCGCAGTTGGGGCATTCCGACATCATATATCCCGACATTTTACAACAATGACAAATTCCCCTATTCTTTCCTGCCATCCAAGTGTCCTAGCTCAACCACATAAAAGAACCAATGAATGGTGCGACTAATTCAATGTCTAATTCAAATTATAAGAGAATTCTACATTAAAGTTTAACTAGCAGTATTCTCAAAACACATAATTTTCGAAATATCAAAACAATCACTGGGATCATATTTCAATATAAAACACTCTTCCATCATCTTCTCAAAATTTTTACTATGCTCTCTGTTTCTCATACAAAAAATAGATCTTCAAGGAATGCCACTTTTTCTGGGACATAGGGGAAAGGCAAGAATCATGTAGTTCTATTATTTGCTACCAACATTCGAAATCCCAAAAACATTTTACAACAAAATCATGTAGTTCTTCTCTACCCCAATTATTTGAGTACCAATTTTTTTTTTTTTTCAAATTACCTAAATTTTTACGTGTTTAATTTGAAAAAAAACAAATGGTTATATTACTGCGAGAATTGCATTGCCCAGAAACATAGCGCAATTGCAGCTATTCACCCATCATCATTCTCACATATATGGACTAATAGTATAACAAGAAGACAACACAAAATTTCACATACAGAAAAGGCTAAACCGAATCAATTTTAGAACCATAAAACACATTCACAAAAAATGGAGGTATTCCACCGGTTGTCTATTGCCAACGGAGAGGGTGTAACGATGGGGCACTTCAGTGGTCGCCTTGAAAATCGCATCAGCTAGAGGGTAGTGTTCTAAACAGGAAATCGAGCAGAGAAAATGAGGAGTATTGCCGGTGTTTTCTCGGCCAGAGGCAAGGTCGACGGTCACCTGGAGATTTGGAGAGGACGACTTTGCAATGGCTTCAATTGAGAGAGTTTGGAGTTAGGTTTAGAGTCGGGTCTGTAAATGATTTAGAATAACCCGTTTTGGCTTGCTCCACTTATGAGCAATATTTTTTTATTTTTTTTTCCTTTTTCCACCTCAGCACTATAAACTTGTTGTGTAAATTGCTGTACGTGTAGCAGTATTGTAAAAGTTTTACCAAATATGCATTTAGTGCTAAACCTTTCAAAAGAGTGCGGCATTTTATTACTTCCCAATCGGTCAAATTTCAATTTCAATCCCATAATTCACGATTTTTATTAATATTTTAATCACAAATTCATCAACTTTTAGGCCTTGTTTGTTTCCCATTCTTCCCAAAATACATTTGTCTCTATTTTGTTTTCATTCATATATTATTCATTAAAATAATATTTTATGTAAATAAATTTTTTTCTTATTTTTCAATCACACAATTTCTATTAATATACTATTCTAAAATACATTTTTTTTTCATAAAAATGGGTTCCTCTTATTATCGCATTTGTCTACCGTTATTCTATTTCAAAAATATTTTACTTTGTCAAACAATCCTTGAAGGGACTGCACCATTGCATCGCGTCAAGCAAGTTGCTTCCAAGTGGTGGGTCTAGGTCTACTACCATCATATTTTCTCCAACAACGGCAGATTACTTCAGGGAACCCTAAATCAGCGATTTGGCGTCTCTTGATCTTCAAATTTCGATCGATCAACTGGAATACATGCAAATTGCAGTGTAATTTACTAATATCATATTTCAATTTCCGGTTTTCAGAACTCAATTTTCTCTCTATAGACGTTTGATAATGACCAACGTAATGACGGCCGCTGATGCTGCGGCGAGCCTTCGGCTGTACCACGGACCTTCGTCTCTTGCCAACCTCCCTCTTGTTTCAGCCTTTATCGCCTGTGCTGTGGCTCAGTTTCTCAAGCCCTTCACTACCTGGTACTCTATCATTCTCTATTGATCTTTCTGTTTACTTAATGAAAATAATCTTAAGTATTTATGCGTGGGTAGGTCAATTTCATCACTCGATCTGGGTTGATTTAATTGGGAGTTAATTTTTTCACCTCATTTGATCATATCTGTGTTGTTGGGACCTTATTTGAATAATTTATTTATTTATTTATTTTTATTGATTAGAATCCAGTGAACATTGACCGTTCCTCATTTCACTAGCGCAGTTTGAGTTTCTGGAGAATAGATTTCCGTGTGTCTATGTGGGTTTGTGAAATGAAGAATTGTAACTTTTAATTTCATTATTTATAATGGAAGTGCTTGCTACAGAGATGTTGCTATGATTTGATGGAAGTATTCCATAATACCAATTACCAAATGAGATTGCATTGGAGGCTGTGGTGCCTAGTAGTCAAAATACAAGGTATTGGAGTTGTGATGGTTTAATGGAGCTGTTGCATTTTTATGACTGTCGAACTTCTTAAGTATGCAATGTATGTAAATGTGTTCCTATGGTTCATAATGTGTTTCATGAACTGCATACAAATTCAAATTATATCATCTTGTATGTATTGTCCATGAACGGGTCTTAAGTTGGGATTCTTGGGCAGGCTCTAACATCTCTACGTATTTAATTTATGGAAGTCATGCATTTGGGTCACGTTTTTGGATTAAAAAAAAAATTCCCAAAAAATCAAACTTATCATGTAAATTACTTTTTAGGAATTAAGTTTTGATAAAACTTTATTCTTGATAATTGATTATTATTATTATTATTATTATTATTATTATTATTTTTAAAGAACATATTCTTTTCTTCAAACAAAATCTGGTTAATTCAATGCAATGTTTACTGATAACATTACTGTTGTAACTCCTTTATTGCTTTTATTCTCTATGGACGTGAATTGATTTTCTATTTGGAAGTACATTTTCACTGGTTTAACAAAAATATTACTTTTCATTTCATACTCTTTTGAGCAGAAAATCCATTTATATAATCGAAATTAAACTCATTGTAAAAATATGTGTATGTTGTGGATACAAAGCATGCTTTTACCTACAGTTTGAAGGTCAAACGAAAAACATGTCACACTTCCGTATGCTTGACATATAACTTTTAACTATTACTAAAATGTTATTTTAAGACATATACGAAGCAAGCTGAAAAAGCCATGATTAGGAACAGTGACAAGTCACAAACAGAGATATGTTAAGACCTTGTACTAGCATCAATATGTGGTAAAGAGATGCGTGGCTTTCACAAGTAGGGTGTGGATGTTGTCCAATATAGGCATTTGTCTGGGATGATCTGTACCTGAAAGATGGTCTTTTAGATATACATGAAGTAACCTTTTTACCTCAATATTTACAAATTTTCCTTTTTTCCAGAACTCAATGCGTCAGTTAATTCCAGAACTTGCAAGCATCATTGATGAAATCCTGCTGTCAAGCAGGCAGAGCTGCTGATGCTTAAACAGTTAAACTCATGATAACTGGATTTGTGGAGTCATTCCTTGTTCATTTAGCAATATCCTAAACTTCTCTTGAAGTGTCTCATTTTTTTCTTCCTGCCGCCTCCATTGCGTTATGGTGTCCTTGAAACTGGAAAATTTTGAATATATCGTTTATTCGTCTCAAGATCTCTGAAACTTCCCGTCAATACACACTGTCACTCCTAGTTGCAAGTCAACAATGCTACAGTCATTTCATTTTTTCATAAAAAGTATTGTTTGAATTACTCAATTTAAGAAGGAAATGGAAAACTGATGCTATTATAAGAATTTCAAAACAAAAAGTTTTCCAAAAAAAGGAAAGATAAATGAGAATATACATAGAAAAAGAAATATATAATGAAACATTTTTTGGCAAAGCTGAGTCTAATGACTTTTATGCTTTGCAAGCAGTTTTTCCTAATACATTTTTATTTAATAAGAATTGTAGTTTCAGAGTCTAACTTAGGCATTAAAGGTTCTGAACTGGGAAAAACCTACACTTATTTAAATTTCAACTCTTCTAATATCATGACACTCAAAAGTGTGAATTTTAGACTTAAATTTGCAGTTGAGAAAATATGCTAGATTTCAGGTTTTGAGTTGCTTCGCCTTCTATTTTTGATTTACATTTAGCCTTTTGGACGTTGGAGTAGTATTTATAAAGTTAATTTTAGCATCATATATTAAATGAATAAGTTCTCACCCTTTTTTCTTGTGATTTCTTGCTTGATTTTTAAAATTATCCTTTTAGATATGCAGGTTGAAGGATAATAAATGGGATTCTAGAAGGATGCTTAGCTCAGGTGGAATGCCATCATCTCATTCAGCAACTGTTACTGCTCTTGCAACTGCAATTGGTTTACAAGAGGGAGCTGGGGGGACTGCATTTGCCATTGCATTGGTCTTGGCCTGTGTTGTATGTACTTTTAAACCAGGTTTCCTCTATACTTTTGCATTGTCTGCTTGTTTATGCATTTTTAACAGAAACAGAAGCACCCAGATATTAAAAAAGCTCGTGGTTCAATTTATCTTCCTCTTTTTTTGGTTCTAAT